AATGAGGTACCATTTCACAAGCACTAGGATGGCGAAAATAAAAAGCTGGACAGTGACAAGTGCTGGCGAGGGCATGGAGAAACGGGAACACCTGGGGGGCGCCTGGGTGTCTCAGTCTGTTAATCGGCTGCATTTGGCTCCGGTAATGGTCCCAGGGTCCTGGGATCAAGTTCTGCATCAGGTTCCCTGCTCAGCTGGGAGTCTGCGTCTCCCTCTGCCCCTTCCCCCACTCATGCTCTCTCTCTCTCTGTCAAATAAATAAAATCTCAAAAACAAAACAAAACAAAATGGGAGCCCTTATGCACTGCTGGTGGGAATGTCAAATGGGGCCATTACCTTGCAAGATAGTCTGGTAGTTTCTCAAAAGGTTAAACATATTGTTATCACATGAGTTAGCGATTCTACTGTTACATATGTAATGAAGAGAACCGAAAAACTGTGTCTACAAAACACTTACACACCAATGATAAGAGTCAAAAAGAGGAAACCATACAAATGCCCTTCAGCCGATGAACGGATCAACAAAGTGCCCTATGTCCGCAGGGTAGACGATTATTCCGCGATAAAAAAGAACAATTCACCGATATATGGTGGACCCGCTGGTACATCAGTGGCAAGGATGAACCTCGAAACATTATGCCCGGTGAAAAGAAGCCAGACGCAAGAGGCCACGCAGCCTAAGATCCCATTGTTATGAAATGTTCAGAAGAGGCAAGTCTTTAGAGATAGAAGGTAGATCAGTGTTTGCCTGGGGTTTGGGAAGGACAGTGAGGAGCACCTGGGAATGGGGATGGTGTTTCTTCTTGGGGTGATTAAAATGTCCTGGAATTAGAGTGGAGATGGTTCACACCTTTGTAAATCATTGAAAAATCCCTGAATAATTCACTTTTAACAGGTAAATTTTATGGTGTGTGAATTGTATCTCAATTAAAATCATGACCCTGTGTGAGATATACATACATAAAATTCAGACATTACAGAGGTACACAGAATGAAACTTTCCTTATATTCCTCCCCAACGTTGCCTCCTATTTTTATCTAACTCTCTATACTGCCTTTTTAGTCATATGTATATTTACAAAGCAAATTAGAACCTTGTTATACATACTGTTTTGTTACTTTTTCTCCTTAGTATGACCTATTCATATTTTTCACCATTGGAAGTAAGACAAAAATTCCCAAACTGATTTTTTAAGTAATATAGCAAACCCAAAAGTCATTTAGGAAAAGATGGATAACTTGAGTGCATGAAACTTAAACATTTCAGTATGGGGAAAAAAATGTCATAAATAAAAAGACATAGTAGGAGAAAATACGGGAAACATTTCTAAGAAAAGGTTAATATTCCTGTATTAGGGACTAAGGATCCTACAAAGTGATTTAAAGATGAACACCACAAGAGAAAAATGGGCAAAGATGTAAAGTGGCAAGTCAGAGAAAGGGAGATATAAGTGACACATACACACGAGAAAAGACGACAACCTCGTCAGTTGTTATCTTTTACCCAGCAGATGGGCAAAATTTAAAAGGACTGGTAACAGCCAGTGCTGGCAAGAACAGGGGGGAACGGACATCCATAAATTGCTGAAGGATACAACCTTTTGGGGAAGTAGGCAGTATTTCACAGATCAGCATCACCTTTAACCCACTTAGGGAATTCTAACCCACAAAAATAAAAGCACCACTACTGAGTATGTTCACAAAAATGTTTATTGCGGCAATTTTTATAAGAAGGGAAAAAAACTGGAAACACCTGGACTGTCACTTGATAGACGGTAGCTAGGATAGCTATGGTTAGCTATCAGCTGTGCTGTGTGGGGCCTGCGGATATTAAAGAAGTATGATTTAACCTGATGTGACGGACTTAGAGGCATGCACACAGCAGAACAGCTCTGTGAAGGAAGCTAGTTCAACAGTAAATGCCACTAAACTAAAACTCAAACCCCCAGAGGTGCAAATATGTGTTTGTGTGTTGTTGCAGGCACAGAGAGAGCCTGTTAAATTTGGTCTCTTAGGGGCTGCGTAAGCGGTGTTTGATTATTTCAAAGAAGAAAGTAATTTTAAAGAGGTGATTGTTGAGGAAGAATAATATTGTGCTCATTGAAGCTCTCTTCAAAGCGAGGGGACTGTGAAAAAGGATGAGAGAAGTCAGAATCGATGAGATGGTGTAACAAGAACACTTTACCGGCTGTTAGGAATGCTGATATTTTCTTTTGAGCTAACATTTTGGCTCCTGACTGAGGTGGAGGAAGAGAGGCTGGGAAGGAGCCCAGCCTGTCTGTCCGGAGCACTGGACAGGTGCCTGGTCGGAGGGGAGAACTCTGGTTTCTGACTCCAGTGTCTCCCTGGGCTTCATGCAGAAGGGGAGTCACCCGGCCTTCTCCGAAGAGCAGATCAGGGCAGGACTCAGACCAACAGAGGCTGGCCTCTTCCGGATCAGTTCAGGAAAACAAGGGACAGTTCACCTTGTGAATAAAGGATTTGCCTTCAGTGTTATTACTGGGGACCATACTTCCACTGGGGTCAAAGAAACTCCTGGAAGAAAATTACTAACCCAAAGAGGAACAGTCATGCTGGGTCTCTGAGACCTAATCTCTACTCTAGGAAAACTAAAATGTCAAACTGGGAAGAAGTTTACCTTTATTCTACCAACCCTGTTCAAAATGCCCTTCCGCGGGGGGCTAAATGTGATTCTTGAAACAGTATAGAGCTCTGGTAAAGGTCCCTGCTTTCAGTGTTTAGAAATGCAAAGAGCATTTTTTTTTTTAAAGTTAAAGTAAAAATATATATATATATTTTTTAAAGATTTTATTTATTTGTCAGAGAGAGAGAGTACACACAAGCAGGCAGAGAGGCAGGCAGAGAGAGAGGAGGAAGCAGGCTCCCTGCCGAGCAAGGAGCCCGATGCGGGACTCGATCCCAGGACCCCAGGATCATGACCTGAGCCGAAGGCAGCGGCTTAACCAACTGAGCCACCCAGGCGTCCCAAAGTAAAAATATTTTTAAAGCACTGGTATTTTTCATGAAATTTTTTATAGGTTGAATGAAGTTTCCTTTTGACTGGTTCGTTTAGAATTGAGACGTTCTAAAGGTAGACGAGTGATGTTGCCCAAACACCCAGGAAAAACACACATGCTTTTGTTGGTGGCATTTCATTTGAAGAAGTGACTTTAAACTCTCTTTTGGGATATGAGAGAGATAAAAGGAGATGATCAGAAACTGACAGTTCCTCGAACATATGCAAATGTCATGACAACACAACCCCTTCAGCTTAATGGTGGGAGGCTCCTCTTCGGGTAGAGACAAAGACAAAGACATTTGTCCTTTTCTCCAGACACCACTCCTCGGCAAGATAAATCATTACGCTGATGAACTTGACCCAGGGACTAGGTTTCTGCATCAGGGGAGCTTAGGAACAATGTCAGGAGGAATAAAAAAAAGAAAACCTCACCTAAGTTATGATGAGAGGAAGAGAAACGAGTGAGGGAAGAGAGAGCACAAGGTTTCACTGTTTTCACAAAAACTCAGTCCTCTCAGCTCAGGGGGGGCACAGATGCCACTTGCCTGGGGCACTAGGCACAACCCAAACCCGAGGGGACAGGATGTACTCAGACAGGAAGAGTTCCCATGCAAATTTCCTTTATAATTTCTTTGAGCTACATGAAATCCTTCCAGTACGTTTCTGTCCTCCTCCATTTTCCCCCAGGCAGTCACAGACCAGCCAGAGCGGCTCGCCAGCAACACCAGGAAATGACCACGGGGCATCTCTGCAGTTGGCACGGGGAGCTGTGGGATCTACTTTCAAAACATGCCCTAACTAAAACCTCATGTGCTTCTTGCCAATCTCACAGAGGCTGAATCCCCCGCACGTGGCTCTGTGAAAAGGCACCTAACCCCGAGCGGCATTTCTGCTGTCTGGTTGGGTTACCATCCCCGCTTTACTAGGGGCCGAGGTCCTGGGAGCGTGGAAGCGGACAGAGGGCGCTGGCCTGGTGAGGGCCAGGCTTCCTCTCCTCCTGCGGTTTTTCAGGCAAGCAGCTCTGAGCAGGGGCCTCTCCCCGGGTCTGCTCCCGCTGCTCCCGAGGCGGGCCTGAGACCCAGGTGGCAGTCTCAGGTTGGCTCCTTGTCAATCAGCCAGACAGCGCCAGATCATGACCCAAGACTCCCTTAGATCTTTGCAGGGGTCTTTCATGCTACAGCGGGGAAAGAGAAGCAGAGGGGGCGTCTATTCTTTCTCTCAGCCATGGGAGTGTTGCTCATAATGTGGCTGGTGGGTTCCCGCTCCGTCTCCCGGCATTGGTACGGGGGATGGAGCCTTTGGGAATTTTTATCTATAGAGCGCGAGAAGGTACTTTGCTTTCAGGGTGAGCAGAAACAGCTACTCACCCCCACTCCTCCTCTCATCATTAGTGGGGAGCTCGGGAAACGATCCACTGCACAGTTAGGTACGCCTGACCAGGGTGCTTCTGCAGGGTCCTGGGATCGTGATGGACGGGGAGCGGTTTGTCGCCTGCACTGCCATGGACAAGGGATGGCCCCGGGGACTCCTGCTGACAAGGTAAACTTAAGGGGTGCTGCACCAGCACCTGCTATTGTGGGTCTGTCTAGTGTCAATCAATCAATGTTGAAAGTGATTCTCCGTTTTCTTTCACCCTGGAGGGTGATGAGTATGGCACCCTTTCAAAGCAGGTGGAGAAGGAGAAAGGGAGGAGAAAGGGGGAGAGCTGAGGTACCCGAACACACCCTTCATGCATTGGACTGAATGTTTTTTAGTAAGCAGCTTGCCTCTGCTTGTTGAGTACCGAAACCTAGATCAAACTTCAAGTGCCTTCTAGGACAAAAGTAGCTAATTTGGAATGACTGAAACATCCTGCCTCTGTGGATGGGAAAGCATTCCCATTCCTGGAACCTTTAATCTGGGAGTGGTGGGGCAGCAGGTAGAGTCCAGATAAAGGACCGCAAGAGTGGATCACATGCTTGAATTCATGCGGGTTCCCTACCTCCTGGCCCCTGTCCTGCACGGGACACGACTCACTGTCTGCTTCCGAGAACGATCCGGATTCGTCGCTGGAGTTGGTTCCATAAGACTGCTCACATTTAATTTGGGGTCGGACTTGGTTGTACATTCCATCTCCCATCAGGCCTGGTTCCTGATGTTCTGTGGCTAGGAATCTGGCTCCCTGGGAACAGGGCGAGGAGGAGAACTCGCAGAGAGGGAGGCTGCAGGGCGAGCCCCCGCTCCCGTCCTCTGCGTAGGAATAGGAGGAGCATGAGCTGGAAGTCCTGGTCCTGGTCTCCAAGGGGGGCGAGCGAGGGCAGACTTTGATTGGCACCGGGCAGCTAGTGTTGGGCCGTATCCTTCCTGGCAAATGGTCAGCCATCAGCCCACCGTGGGAGTAGGCCTGTGAGCTGGGGAGGGACTGGCCAGCCCCCACCCACAGACCCTTTGGCACCGGCTCGGAGAGGTCTTTGTCCAAACTGCTTACCCCAGAATACGAATGCACCGCAGTGCTCACTTGGTCACAAGCGCTCGAGGAGAAGATCACACTTCTCCGGTCCAGCTCTCCTTCCTGTTTACAGAGAGCCTCCAACCCAGGCCCCTTGAGGGGCGACCCCATGGTGAAGTTGGACACGTCCTTCTGGCCCAGGTGAGGCTGTCCGTAATTCCCCGGGAAAGGGGCATAGTCAGTTTTAAGGTCACCCTGAGTGATCCCCTTGTCAAAAGGGCACGCCGAACTCCTGGCAAAGTGCTGCTGAGAGGTACTGGGCAAGCCAGACAACTCCACACTATTTTTTATGCTGAACAGAGACCTTAAACAGGAGGGGGAGGACACGCTCCTGGATCTCTCCAGGCAGGTGGCCCCGGCGGCGGGGGCGGGGCCGGGGGCGGGGCTGGGCTCTTTCCGGTCCATTTCGAGGTCCCCGGCTCTGTCCTTGCTGTCAGGCTCATCCCCGGACAGGCAGAGCGTGATGCTCTCTTCCTCGTTCTCTTCACTGGGCGGCTCACTTTTAATCTGCCCCACGGCAAGCCCCGGCTTGAGGCTGTTGCTAGAGTTCTCTTCACTGAATGTGCTTGCAAAACCTGAGGTACTGTGTGACGATGCGTTATAGACATTCTTGGTACATGCAAGCTGGTACTTCTTGTATCTGGGGTACTGCGTCAACGCGTCCTTCTCGGAGCTCTCCTTGCTGTCGGCCGGCACGTCGGACTCGGGCAGCAGCGCTTCCTCCTTCTCGGCTACGGGGATGGTGGCGGCCTCAAAGCTGATGGGCTCTGGAAGCATCTGGTCCCGGGGGCACGCCATCTTGGCGGTCTCGGAGTCCATCGTCTCCTCCTCTTCCTCCTCCTCCTCTCCCGCGGAGTTCTCGCGGTCCTCGTGCGGGCGCGGGCACGCAGCGTCCTTCCGGCACACGAACAGGCCATCCTCACTGTTCAGGAGCTGCGTCTGCAGGAAGCTGAAGCAGGAGTCCTCCAGGTTATGCATGCGCAGGAACTCAGCACAGCGGATGACCTCGCGGATGTTTTCTCTGCTGAGTAATAGCTTGGCGGTGTAGGCAAACTGTAGCAGAGGCCCAAAGCCCCTGGCCGTGACCTGCAAAACAAACAGGGAAATTGCCGACGTTACCATCAGCATGGCTATTGTCCCGAACCCCTCAACTGAAGCAGGGTAACCAGACAGTGCTAATGTCCCAGAATAAAGACTGCAAGGGAGCAGTTAATCTCGCACTGGGTCAGCAGTGATTCCGCTTCCAATAATTAGGGCCTGTCTCGTGCGTGCCTCCGCACTCCATCGCCCCGCACACGGCATTGAAAATCACCAGGGTCCAGGGGCTCCACAAGGTGACAACCGGCTCAGTGGTGACGCTAATGAAATATCCTGGCAAAAATACATGGTAACGATGGGAAGCCTATTAATTTCCCTCCCAGTCACACCCGTGGAGGGCCCTTCTAGTAAGGAGAGGCGTGACACTTGTGGCTCGCTCGAGCCGAAGAAAGCGTTCTGTTTTTTTCTTGTCCACTGCGAAACTGGCAATGTGGCCTGTTAAAACCTGAAAGTCCAGAGGGGTCGAAAAACAGTTTTCCTTCACGTAACAAGTTAAAGAGTGACATGGAAGCAACTGCTGTGTTTCTCATTCATCATGGTTTCCAGATGGGACTTTTCAGTCCTCACATCCTACCTGATCTTACAGGGATACCTCAGAGAGGACAATAATCCAGACAATAATCCCAAAATCAACTGCTGGCCCAGAAAGAACGGGGTTTCCAGAACTAAACAGGCCGACTGCCATTTAAATGGTTGAAGCTGAGCGGCACTGGACACAGGCTATTCCTTCCCTAATTATGAGCAATGGCTTTGCCATGCAGCTGCCTTCTTTCCTGCTAAATCTTCAGAGACTCAGCCTACTACTGTCATGTGCTCCTCACGCTTCACAGTTTATCGATTGAAAATGTGCTATTTATGCACGGCTTTGTGTCCGCACACACCCCCATGCACGCAGAGGGTGACTTAGACAATTAGAGATGCATTGCCTAAGGCCAACTGTTCTCTCAGATGGAAGTGGATTAAACTTGCTGGGGTTCAGGGCAGGCTTCCTCACCCTATATGGAAACCTACATGCATCTTCTAGGTTCTTGCAAACACCACTGACCCCTTCGAAAGGGAAGGCAGATCTGCGGTTTGAATGGTATGGGTAGAAACTGAATGAAAGCAGCCACCATGGGGTCCTTGCCGGAAGCTCTAAGAGCAATTATTACAAAATATCTGCTAAAGGCATAGGTGTAGAGCAAGGTGAGCTGGCCAGTTCTGCAACTGACTTTCACATACACTGAATTCACGGCAGCACACACAGCCAAAACTCTTGTAGGGACTTCTATCCCTTGCCCGTGATTCAACTTGGACACTGCCTTATCCCAGAGCGGTCTCCCAACCTCTTACAACATACAATACCGGCCTCTCAGCCCCATGGCTAGTGTGAGGAAAATGCCCTGGAGTGTTCAGAGCGGCACCAATTTTTATATGCGGCATTCTTTCCAGTAAGGGAAATTTCCTGGATATATAACCAAATGGGATTTTAATTGGTTCGTATTTTGGAAGGACTTTAAATAAAATTCCAAATTAAAAAAAACCCCACCTCTGTCAGATAACAAGTCCCAAGATATTGGGTTAAAAAAAGAACACAACAGAAAAACATGACCGCCAGACTCACATTATAGCTCCACAAGGGCAATCACTGCCGTCTCACTTTTATTACACTTAATTGGGTCTGTTTCTACCGCTAGACAGCAAGCTCCTTCAGATCACGAACAGCTTCATTTCTCTTTATAACTCTGCATCTGATTAGGGTCTCTAACACGGCACACACCTGACAAAAGCCTGTGTGGTACTGAGATGTCGGAAGCCTACTTGTGCTCCTAACATACAGCTACAGCGCTCTGAAAGTAACAAGACGGTCTGTTTGGTGACTATCATCTCGAATGACTTTTGGAGCAAGTCACTGTGTAAACCAATAATCCACACCAACCAACCAGTCAGTGCAGGGGACAGTCCTTATTTGTCCTATTGAACAGCCCTTGTTTGTACCACTATTGAAAGGGAGCTCATCTGACCTACCTTTGTGTCCTACTAAGCTGACATGGTAATAGATTCAGCAAATGCACTATCTACTATATCTGTTTTATGTACTCTCCCCCCAGGAACCTTTCCGAGGAAGTGCAAAGCGAGGAAGTACCCATTTACAAGTAACCAAAGGAAGCGATGGGAATGTCACATGATCCATTTCTTTGCTGTAATGTGACTTCGCCACAAAGAGAAGAATGGCCTAATCAAGGCACAGCTGACCCCTCCGTAAGGAAGCATTTTCTGCTCCGCTCCCAGGCAATTTGCCTTTTGCTGAATGGAAGCACACATCTCAAGTTTGCGTACGTGTGCTCAGTATATGGGAAGTGGGGGAAACTCACCTCAATGTTATTTACATTTTTTTAAACAGTCCTCCCTTATGGGCATTCTGTTTTTATTTCGATGCCATTGGTCTTAGTAAGTCCTGCCACTGTTCCCCACTATGGCTGCTTTTAAAGAAAATTCCTAGAGAAACCAGGAACACCCCTGGGGATGATTAGATTAGTCATGGGCATTGCCACTGACACATGGCTACAAGGAGGTGGAGAAGAGGCCTCTCCAAGCAGGGACAAGTGGGTACGTAAGTGTGAGTGGGACTGACGGTGCCAATGAGCACGGTCTCCACATCCCAGATCACATCACTAGTCCTTTTGGGCCAAGGAGACATGATAAGCTTGAAAGGATCATCCTGTGGTCATAAAAGAGTCATGATTAAAACCAGGATTGTAAACTCTCATTCAAGTTCAAGGTCAGAGGCAGTGGTGTCCTCAACATGAAATTTCAAGAGTCCGTAACTAGCTCTCTCCTCATACGAGTTTAAATCCTGCTTTGTCACATTCAGTTCTGTTAAATTTTGCTCAGCTTCTGTGTGCCAGGCTTTGTCTAGTTACCATCTACCAAGTGCTCCCAGTGCCCAGTGCCACGCTAGCTTGTTCTCATAACACACTGCCAAGAAGGCATGACTGCCTCTGTTTTGGAGACAAGGAAACAGAAGGAGGGAGGTGAAGGAATTCTTTCAAGGTCGTAGAGCTGGGATTCCAACCGAAGTGCTATGAGGAACGGATAAGTACAAGACTAGGCCCTGTGCCCAAGAAACCTACAATGTAGCTTTGTAGATACCACCTTAACAATGGAAAGTTAATTATCAAGTAACAACATCAGTGAACAATGGGAAAACTATCACAAGATTATATGATCAGTTGTCAGCTGAGAAATCCCTCCCAGTTCAGGAGAGAAGGTGACTGCTGAGGTCTGTGGGGACCCCTTAAGCCCTCATAAACAGGACCTGGAGTGCAGTGAAATTGCTCTGTGTTCACTGTGGGTCAAGAGCTGCTCTGATCTAATGGGTGCCTTCTGAACCACTCTGTGTCCCCCTCCGAGGAACCCATCTCTGGTACGCTTTAGGCCAGCTGTGTTAACTCCAAATACACAAAACAGAAAGCAAGTGCCCATCACACCTGCAGGAAATGTCAAATCAGGTAGATGCTTTCTAAATACTGGTTTTAGGATTCATCTTGGTAGCTTGCACTGACTTTCCATTTTTAGGAATCATTTAAACTCACTCACTGTACTCAGAAAGCAAACATCCAGGTACCAAGGGAAAGCTGTATGTTTATGAAACCGTGATCACAAGGCTGCATTGTTATTTACTTTGTTTTTAACAAGTAAGGCTCTGATAATGGGAAAAATAAGAAGAGATGGGAAGTGGAGAAGCACACATAAAACTAACGACCCATAAAAATGTTATTTAAAAAGGTAATGATCATAAAGTTAAAGTGGAATGAAGTGGCTAGAAATAGCAAACCAGTTCCATTTCGCTGATGGTAATGGAGCTGTGTGCCACTGCTCTAAGGGAAGCAGGCTATCTCTCTTGCCCTCTGGTTGCTCCCAAGCAGGTGATGACCTTCTCCAGTAGTTGGCACACACAAGGCAAGTGGCCTTGACCGTGGAGTTTGAGGCCTGAAAGAAACAAGGTCAAACTACTGAACTCGTGTGCCACGGTGTGAGCCCACATGAGGATAATGTGTTGAAAATATGACCCACTGAAACTATGACCCTTAGCCTTTTGTTCCATGGGTTCTGATGTACCCTCTCTATGCTGTTGGTGGAAGGAGGATGAACTGATGAAAACTCAGTGGGCATAGGGCACGTTTAGGTGCTGTTTGCAAAGCTCCCTCTCCGGAGTTACCCGGCTTCCTGCTGGACAGAGCTCCTGAAAGGAAAGATCTAACAGTTTCCATCGCTCTGGATCATTACAGGGATCAGGCAGTGGGCTTCAGGTGTCTACTGAAAACAGGGCTTGGGAATTTTTAGGAGACTTGGAGCAGCGTTCTCTACTCAAGCCATGTGATTAAGGTCTTCTCCGTTGGTTCTGTCAGTATTTACACGTGGTTGTGAGCTCCTCCTCAGAGGGTTGTGAGCGGTTGTGAGCTCCTCCTCAGAGGGTGGACCAGATGCATGGGGAGATCTTGGGACTGTTTTCTAGGGGAGGGATGGCACACTTCTCAAGGCTGCTGAACTGTGGGCTTACAAGCCACGTCACGCATGCTTTCCCGATGAAGACGGATCTCTTATATACCTTGCAGGGGCTGGGGAGATGACAGTAACAAAGCTATGCTGGATGGGCTTTTTACTACACTGAGCCACGGCCATCCCTCTGAACCCTTTGCACAGCGAGGCACTTGTCAAAGAAAACAACTTTGGGGACAACTCACTCTTCCTTTCCACCCCCACACAGCACTGCATTCCATTCTGCAGGAGGGAGACTGATTTGGTGATGAGGTGTTACTTCTAATCTTAATTAAAAAAAAAAAAAGACTTTATTTATTTATTTGGCAGAGAGAGCACACAGGCAGGGGGAGCAGCACGCAGAGGGAGAAGAGCACCTCCTGTGTGGGGAACCCGATGGTGGTCTCGATCCCAGGACCCCACGATCATGACCCTAGCTCAAGGCAGACACTTAAGCGACTGAGCCA